ATGATGAGTGCTAACTAGGATGAGATCTATGCCAAGGGTATCCTACCAATTGACTTCAACCATTAAAAACACAATAGAGCGAAAATAGGTGCATGTATAGTTGCATCAAAACTTATTGACACTGATAATTTCAAAATTCCAGTTGTAAGACTAAGTTATGGTTATTCTTAGACAGAATACCCTTTTTCCAGAGGATATTAGCATTTTCTATCCAGGATTTCAAACTAATGCACACTAAATGGTACTGAAAAATATTACTGAATCAGTTGTTATGGGATTGAAAATTTCAGAGATAAATTATGCGTATCACTTTTGCAGAATACTAGTTTCATCAATATATTACCTGTCTATTTTTAATTATTAATGTTTTCCTTGGTCACAATAAATGATAAATCTTAAGACTACAGAATCTGTGCAATAGTAAAATGGTAAACAAGAACACAGAAAAACTCACATGTCTGTACTAATAAATATGTCTATCTAGTATTTAGTCAGTTTAAAAATTTGTTTTGGTCTTTCATATAAAAGTCTATATACAAAACTGATACTTCGATTAGACCATTTTTTATAGACATTTGTGAGCTATTGTCTGAATTGTGGCTAATAGTGAAATTTATTTTAGATGAATATTATTGATCTGTGTTAAACATAAATGAAAACAACAGTATTGTCAATGTACTGTATCTATAAATCGAAAAGGTTGAACCTATCTACACAAACCTTCCGTATACGATATAAGATTCTCATGGGGTTTTTGTAGAATACGCTTTATTCGAACTTTACTAATACTGAAATAGAAATGAACCATTGTTTTCTAACCTATACTTGAATTGAAAACAGCTCCCTAACTAATCAAAGATTCGTGCATTTAATAAGATTAAGACCCTTGTATAATTAGTGATGAAATGTTTGGCTATCTGAATGGAATCAGATCTATGAAGTTATTGAAACTTTAGCACAATATTTAAAGTGCTCAATCCACTGAATCAGATCGAAAAAGAAACGGAACATCATTTTAATAAACGAACTGAATAAAACCATCTTACTCAGGAAAAATCTAAAATAAGGTTTGGAACGATAGATCAAATCATTCGTTTACATTACTAAGTTAAAGAACGCCGATGATTTATTCAATGAAGCATAAAATTCTGTATTTAAATTATTCGTAAATAAAAGGTCGAATTTGACTTCATTAAGTTATTTATTCTAACCATTTATACTCAAGAACAAACCTTAAAAAAAAACAACTAAAAGTACATGATAATTTTGGACGGAGGTTAAGGTTTATCGTTATGAAAATAACTGTACATTGTATACATAATGTAAAATAATTCTAATATCTTTGAAACTAATATAAAGTTAAACAGCTAACAAGAAATTTCACCATAAATATATATTACAATAAGTTATTCCGAATCAATATTATCACTTAACTTTGTCATTATGGTTTATAACTTTACCAGTGCTTCTGTTAACATTTTTTTCTAAAACCAAATAGTATTATACTTCTGTAGTGAACAAGAACACGGGTGAGGACAATCGATTGTATTTAGCACAAAGATTACAGACTATCTCAATAAAATGTGAATACCATAAAGTCAATCGTCAATTTGCAAAATATCATTCCATCATATCAAACTGTACTGTTCCCGTTGCAAACACTAATCCATTGTCGCCCATTCCATTGTACATGCGTTTTCTTACAATTCCATTGTGCTCTTGCTCTTCCTTTCTCGATCTTCGCCATCTTCTGCTGCCGGACATTACGTTCTTTTAACGCACGTTATATACTACTTATATCAATATAAGTAGCTCACACCACACTTCTATGTTAAACTCAGATAATATTAATGTTTCACTAACCAAATACCTATTTAACATTTTCATTTAAAATCTATAGTTTAACTGATACACAGAACTAATAATTGAAAATATTAAACTCAAGAAGACAGTTCAATAAGTAAAACTAATGTTATATTAGTACTCAAATTAGTATGTATTATCATTGCTACTATTGTAAATATGAATGCAAATACTATTGCTAAGATTACTACTAGTAGAACTATAACAAATGAGTGACACTTTGACTACATTTTTTTTTAAAAAAAAGAAACGTATTATAAATTAAGTCATAATTCTAATATTGAAATTTCAATGTTCAATATACATTGGATTGAACTGAATAAAATACAATATTTTTTTAAATTTTTTTTTCTTTCTAACTTGTAACTACATTCACACATTAAAGATAGTTGGTGATTTTTTACTAATGATTTTCGTCAATTGTCCAAAAGTCTAACAATAACAAGAATATATATATATATATATATATATATATATATATATAATATGCACGTGAATATGTATGCTAATTTACAGAAGAAAAATAAGCATTTAGCATTTATGATATTCAAAACTTAAAAAGGATAAATCAAAAAAAAGTTTTTATGTAACTATCAATTGAATAAGAAAAAGAGAATTCAGCGAAGAAAATGTTCTTTTTAACGATTTCGTCAAAAAGAAAATTTTCTTCGCTGAATTCTCTTTTTCTTATTCAATGACACTATGGGTTATTTTAATTAACTATCAATTGTTACAATTGTCAGTAAGGGAGTTTGTGGAGATTGCAGTATTTTTAATAGTTGAATTCATGAGTCGATTAAAGCTAGAACACTATGGAAAACCTGGAAGCAGTGGACAGTTGTTTCGTTTAAGTAAGGGTCAACGGTGTCAGTTTTACTAAGAGATAACTAAAAGTATACACCAATGTATTTGTAGAGCATTAATTCTTTTTATTCACGTGAATAAATAAAAAAGACATTCATGTCTGTATTATGCAATGACTTATGATTATCTAAGTCTGTTCAATAGGAAATAAATGACATGATAATCGAGCATCTGTGTAAGCATAAAAAACTTTATAATGAAAAGAAATTAGGCATACTAAGAAAGAATGAAAGTCACTAACAAAATTAATTTCGATAGAAACATTAATAATTGAATGAAATTCAATCATTTTATTTGAGCTACTTAATTTCTAGAAAACAATCCCATCTACAAGGTTTCATGTAGTGATGCTTTATTTTCGTACAGTTTTTCTAACGATATTTATAAAACACTGTCACTTCAGCTAAAAAAGAAAACATTTGGACATAAGACACTTCAGTGTACAAGTACTCTAAGCATCTTTAATAAATTCTTAATAAACGATAATGATTTTATCAAGTTTAACATAATATTACACTATAGATTATTTTCGAAGAACATTTGTTCATAAATGTATATTCAGAAAAAATTGGTCGGAATTTATCACCCACAGAAAAACGGAAAAATAATAATCGTTTGATCACATTCGACATTTAACTAACCTTTATTATAATGATGACAATAAAATTATCTATGTCAGTAAGCAAAAATCGTAAAAGTTAGATTCAATGTGATATATTGCACATGACCGGATCAAATCTTAAAAATCAACTATTAAGTTAGGTTCACTTGGTATTGTTTACTTGAATCTTCCCATTGATGTTGATGCATACTGTGCGTGTTGCAAGTATGCCGATAAGAGACTGATCAATTGCAGCCCTAAACATCAATGGGAAGAATCAAATAAAGAATACCAAGTGAATTCAAACCTCACTCGACTGAATGATTGAGTGGCTATCAGGACTCAATAGCTAAGTGGATAACGCGATGGAGTTTGAAGCGAATGGTGCTGAGTTCGAGTTCCTGAGTGAACATGAACTCTGAGATGCAGGTACACACAGCTGACGAGTCCCAAATAAAACGAAACGTGCATCCTAGATTCCATTGTGAGCCACTATCCATCTTGGTTTAGAAACTAGTAAGTTAGTTATATATTGGTTTATAATAACAGATATATGTAGTGCATAGGCATACTTCAAAATAAAATTAGCTAGTCTGAATCGATTAGCATGTTACAAACTATCTGAATATTCACAATTCATGTACAGATACAAGTTGAAAGTAAATATGCAAGTAACATTCAACCTGATCGATAGATGTGCATAATTATATTTCTACATTGTGGACGAGAGGACAACAGTGACTATAATTTTATGTTTAATGTGTGACATGAATATGTAAATAAACTATTAATATGAACATAAAAATACATGTGTGTATTGCCACACATAAGTGTTCATTACATTACTATAACTAAACTGGAATATGAATTGCATTCGCGAAATGAAAAATGACACTTCGAAACAGAACTAAAAATAAGTTTAATTTAGCTATAAGAATTGAACAATTCATTGGTTTACATTTCTAACAACAATCAAATATGAAAATTACCCAATCTTTCAATCCCATTAGTGAGTAGCTATCTCATACTCAACATATTTGGACTCCATTAGTTACAGCTCCTCATTAGAACTCTGGGAAGTGACTGGAGTTGGGAATGTAAGCCGGTGAACGACGACTCAGTGGTCTAAACGCTCTCGCAAAACCTGGACATCCTGGGTTCGATCCCCAGTTGGATCGTTGATGTGTACTACTGACGAATTCCATACTAGAATGAAATAGCTATTCAGCGCTTCCTGGTTCCTAATGATTGTCTAACTGAAGCCAGTTCGTATTATCTCCACAAACCCAAATACCAATAACACAGTATTGGTGCAATATGAGCAATACAGTGTTCATCGATGAATGACTGTATTTGTCTTATGATCTAGCCTGTCGTAAAATACAGTATCATAAGATATTTGCCAGTGATTTTCAGTTTGAAAAGGATGACGAGTACTTTTTATTTCAGCTTAAACAATAATAGTTGAAGCAAAAAAAGTAAATATTTCCATTTACTCATTGCAAGTAAGTACTAAACTGTCACCAATCGAGATATAAATTGAGCCTAGTAAACAGATCATCAAAATTTTAACGGCACAAATATGGCCTCATAGTTTGCTAGTATTTCCAAGTTTCAATATAGTTAAACATATATATATATATCAAACGAAATGAGCAATAGCTGAACTCACTGTATTCGGATTCGCCTGATCAACGCTAAAAAGAAAAACATCGAAATGTTTAGCTGAAAGAAAAAAGTAGCAATAAACTAACAGGCAGTATGAAAACTATTATTAAACTATACTAGCCATCATCCAACTTGCTCAAAAAAAGCTAATGACTTAATGGCGATATTAAAGTAATTCTCTTAGGCTACCTAATGCCAAAGAGGATCGATCGATTTCAGCCTTTAACGTCAGCAACAGGAAGAATCAAATTTCATTTACAAATTATAATTCATAGCCTTTTTACATGTCAGTAATTATGTAGAATCGACATCTTATTGAACATTTCGTTGGGTGGTTGAAGCGGTAAGTACTGGTTTTGAACCTCACAGTGGAGACCAACACTAGGATGGAGAAGCATCCAACTGACGAGTCCAAAATCGGACAAAGCGTGCGTACTGAAATCCACTATCAAGCACCATTTAGCTCTGCTTAAAAATACTTATGCGTGGTATTGTTTAAAAATTAGTAGTTGTGGTGAGAATTTCCAGCTTCTTTCATTGTGTTTAGTCTTACTCAACTTTATCTGTTGAAATAGAGAGTGGAGCAGAGATACAGATGAATAGCAAAAATAAGAGAAATCTTGATAATCGAGTTTCCATTGCTTGGTTCTTGAAAATGAAGTCAGAGACAAATTCCAATTATTATTTCAATGAAATAATTTTTAAAGGAATATCATGAACCAGATGTGAGCCCTAATAGACTCTACAAAATATATTAATCAACATAACCTTAATTATCATTCAGTAGTAAGCAACATAGAATCTGCACATATGAACATCAATTTAAGTTTCCTTAGTACGCTAGCACAACGAGATAAACTTATCAAGACAAATCCACGATTAGTAGAGGTAGTTACAGTATCAGTGGTAATAAGAAAAATTAGGCCTAAACAATCCCATTGAGGAGAAAAATTTATTTTATGGATCAAAAAGTATAAGCTAATTTTAGAACTCAATATCTGAGGTAAAACAAAGAGGGATTACATTTGAGCCATTATGATCAGTTATGAGTTACGTCGCCCAATGTATTCAAACATTGGTTACGATAACGACACTGATCACAACCAAGTAATCTGGAATTATCAATACGATCCAGTTCAACAGTCAATGATTTCATGGGTTGATGTCACGTTCTGATTTAGCCACTACAAAACATCGACAGTCAAGGTAAAGGATGAATTTCAGTATGTTATATATGAATTTATAAATGATAACGAGGCTTTAATAAATTTAAAACGTACATATCACTTGGTTTTAACTCTGATGAAGTTGACATTGGTTTAATAGTTTCAGATGCTTTTCTTAATTTATTCACTGTTTGAATTAGATCACCATAGTTCTGAGTTGACTTTTCTTTTTCATTTGTAGATGATGATAGTTGTTCAGACGATGGTATGTTACGATTATCAGGGTTGTTTGTTAGTGTTTTCAATGTTTCATTTAATTCATTGTTCAATGTTTCATACTGTTCACTAGTCAATAACTGACCACCTGAATTTAAAGTATCTTTTAAATTTGATAGTTTTTCCATTTGTTCATTATTTAATTCTGTTTGAATTGATGATTCGTATAATTTGGGTAGATTTATATCTGATGTTAACTCAGTGTTAGATGGATTTTGTACAATATGTTTTTTTAATTGACTTATTTCTTGATCACGTTCATCTAAAAGTGCCTGAAATGTATGAATTGTTTGTTGAAGAAGTATATCATCTACTTTAGGTTGTGCTCCTGTTGTTTTTAATGGAGGTGGTTGTGATTGAGAAACAGTAACCGGTTTGGTATCATCCATTGAATGAAGTACAGCAGTCTGGACGTTTATGATCATTAATAAAAGATAGTAAAATTAAACCGATTTTCATAAAAAGGTGTGGTTATCAGAATTTATAACTGGTTAACAATAGTTTACAAGGAAACTGGTGAATGTAAAGCACTACTAAGTAATCCTACACTGTCTACAGAATAAACTCGAGTGGATTTTGTCTATTAGCGTTTACAATTTCACTAAACAATTTACTTTCATTCAAATAAAAAAAATTAAGCTTAATTTAGGATTCTTTCTTACGCGTTTTAACTCGGAGACACTAACAAATTATAACTCAATAGCCAGATAAGAATGATATAGAACTAACATGTCATTTCTTCATTGTTATTGTCAAGTGGAAAATAAAACAGTTTCTCAGGTAACCTGACCAGATCTAATTCAATATTTCTCATTTGTATAAAGGATTACATATTGGAAACTTTTTTACATTGTTATTAAAGGTTCACTACAAATAAAGCGTATGTTATTACAATTATTGAACTAATGCTGACATATTTTATAATGATAACTTAATAATGGTAAATATTTAGGTTACATATCGAATGTTAAGTATTACGTAAACAATCAAATCATGTTACATTGATTAGTACAAAATGATTACACGCAAAAATAAAGCAGTATGAAAACTCACTGTATTTTGCTCAGAATGATCTATTTCGAATGATACAGATTCAGTAGATGGATGACAGCTATTTTTTCCTATAAGGTCTTGTACACGGGATTCTAATTTTTCTGAATACAATCTTGATGAATTCAATTTTTCTTCTAAATCTTTGACACGTTCTAACTGTTCAGCTAATTGAGCCTTATAACAAATAGAAATATAATGATAAAATGAATTAGGGTTAAAAACTTATCTGAAAAATAGAACTCACAAATAAAGTACACCGTCAAATAATGAATAGGAAAATAATGTGACCTGGAACTAGGCGATATCTTTTTTGTATACACTCGTTTGCAAGTGTACACCTATGTATATTGTAAGGAAAGCTTAACACACCTTTATAACAGCGAATAAATAATCAGTAACTTGAATAAAGGGATCTGTATGGATTTTCACGATAGTCAATATCAACCGTGACGAAATATGAACATATATATATAGCCATTTATATTTTAAGATCACACTTGGAAAAAGATTGATTGACGTGAGTTGTGTGTAAAATGACTTCGTGACAAGATATTTTAAGTGAATGCCACATGTGTGATAAGAACATGGCTTAAATATGTATATGATTAACATTTTGAACTGATCTTAGTTACACAACTTTTGAAAGCCAGAAAGCACTGAAGGTGTTTCAAACCAGAAGGGGACCCAACAGGAGTGGGCATCTATGACTTCTCAACCCAAAGTCGAACACGGGACCTACAGTCTCGAATTAAACCTCAATATCAGTAAGTCAGTATCTAATAGTTTGCATGTTTAACTACAATCGATTCGTAATATTGAACAATCATTCAACGATGTAAACCAAATAACATAAATTTATTTTATTTCAAAATCAAAATTTCCATTGTAATTTAACAAATATATAGAAGTCAAGTAGGTTAGAACTTGGTACAAAAGCACATCAGTATGATGCATTACACATGGAAACAAAGCTGAAAAGCTTGGATAGAACTTAGCAAACGTGTTTAAGGTTTCAAAATGTACTAGAACTATAACTGATATTGTAGCAAAAGATCACAAGACTGAACTTTAGTGGTTACATGAAAACAAATTAAATGAATTCATGTTATCCAGTCTACATGGTTGTTCGTGGTCTTCTCATAATTACAGCGTTAGAAAACATGATATTAGGGAGAGAAATATTTGATTTTCATAGTCACTTATCCTAGCGTAGATTGGCACATTTTACTCCCTCAGTCTCATGAAAATGACCAAAATTACAATGCAATTTGTAGATAATGAAAACCGTATAGTACTTGGAGAACCAAAGCGTTACATTTATTGTACGATAAAAGGAATACAGTATCTTGAAGTAAACTGTTAATCAAGCTATTCCAGTCCCACTTGGTATCCTAAAATACGGCGACTACATTCCACCTTTAAAATGCAATGAATTTTAGTAAGACAGGTACAAGTCTGTACCTACAACCACTCATCAGAAATAATCGTACGTTTTTCGTGTCTCGGAGATTGTGTGAGCACTAACAATGTTGTTGCAGGTGACAACAAATTAGTGTGAGGTAGAAAAATCAAAGACAACGGATTATCTTTGACTCCATGATATTAGTTTTAAAAGGCGTTGCTTGATTTAGATTAGCTCCATAATCATGAAAAATAGCCTCTTGGAGCTAAAGATGTAAGGTGACCCAATATAAATGACTTAAAATGCGTTGAACCAGCAGTTAACAGCTAACCAGCAAACAGTAGAGAACAGTCAACAAAACACAAAGGTGATCAGCGTATTCAACTTTCATCTTAGTAAGAATTATCATCCACTCGTGGAATCTCGCTTACTAATGCTATCACATTACACAACCTTAGTAGTTGAGAAATTCAACCATATTATAATACCACACATGTGAAATACACCACAAAAAAATTAAAATCTACCGACTCAAACACCTAATCAAAGTGTAATTGACATATCCGAAACAATATTAAGATAACATCAGTTAGGGATGGATCCATGGCTATCAGGAAGGAAAACAAAAGCCAGTTTTTCATTACATCATAACTGTTAAGGTGTGGGAAACGAAGTGTAAGTAGACACATTCTCTATATTGTTTTGGATGGGATTGAAGAGAGAGGGAGGACTTTCCGGGTTTGACAACACCATTTAGAGATTATTCACTTCATGTGTTGCGATGCGAACTGTCATATGAAACAGTTGGATTTACTCATGATCAAATGATAGAGTTGGCTCTTGAATATTTCTCATCCAACTGTATATCTATGTGTGCAAAACCACTTCCTTTTGTTTGATATTTATCATGGTTTTCATGTGAATACTCAAGGATATCTTTTAGCTCGCTCACAAACGTCTAGTTGCATTGTGGTTTTGAGAATGAATGAGAAATATATATCGATAGCTTTAAATCAATGGATTTCAGTTGTAACCGAAAATCACATTGAAACAACAGATATAAGCGAATATTACTGCTCTTAATTAGATTCTCATCAGGCTTTACTGTAATATGCACTGACTCATAATACGCTTTCACTGGTTTAATAGTTTTGAACGTGCGTAAATATTATTGTATATTAGAGTAGAGCATTTGAGGATCTAATTGAAAACAATGTTGTTTTAAACCATGATATGGAAACTTCTAATATTTCAAAATTAAATTGTTGTCTATTAATATAGTCAGATGTACAGGAAAGATATAGGTGTATTTCAATTCTTTTAATTAGTACATGAATAGATGACAAGTAGTAATGAGACAATTTAGTCATTATGGCAATCGAACGAGTATATATATAGTGAACTGACTGAGAAATAAACTTTTCATCTTAAATTTCTGTTAAAATATGTTGTAACTTGTTTGACTCAAGTTAAAACGGAATTATATATATATTATTCACTTATTTTGTTACAACCTATTTGCTGAATCACAATAAGAATACGTTTTAGCGTTTTGTTTTTTGAGTTCATCAAGTTACTTTTTTTTCATATGTATTGCCAATGCACTACAGATGAAGTAGCTACAAATTTTAACTTCTTGACAAAATCAGCATCTCGTATTTTAGGTCATTTATATCAATTAACTTTGATAATCATTTCAGAATCATGTACCAATTTTAAAGATGTACCTTATTGACTGAGTTGTTCGCTTAGGTGCAACGTCATTCGAAATTTATACATCAGTAAATATGATTTCAGACATTAATAAGCAAAGTAATAATAAGTCGAATTGGCGTCTTTTATAATATTATGAGAAAATGAAACGTTTTCTAAGCAGTGGTTTCCGATCCAAGTGCTTTTTTTAAAAAAAGTAAACTTTAATCTGATTTCATCTTCAAATAGTCATTACTGCCTTAGCGTTCTACAATCAAGTTTATGTAATTTTAAAATTATATTATTCCTCTAAAGAACACGTTATTCGGTTATATTTCTTGGTTTTAAACAATGTTGATATGTGAGAAAATAAGAAGCATAAACCATACAAATAAATTCAAGTAACTAGGTAATATGTTTTCTAATATTATATATTAATCCGATAATGATTGAACAGTCTGTTAAATCAAAAAAACTTATTCAGTACTATGTTTTCTGAAAAAAGTGACATTTTATTAACCTATTTGTATGTTTTATTGAGTATTTAAATTGTTGCAATCTTAAACACTAATGCGAAGATTCAAATAACCAGTACAAAGATGAATTAAAAGGTAACATTTATTTATACTCATTATCTGACTAATATAACTAACATATCAAGTATATCGATGGAGTTTGTAAGACCATTGCTGCAATTCGTTTTCATTTTACTCACTGTATTCTATTTCATTACTTATTTCGATTTAACAACTCTGAACTCATGATTCAATAGACAATCACTTATATAGTGTTCACTTTTATTAAGTCGAAATCGGCATCCAATAACAAACCTAATTTCCTCACGAAGACTTGTTTTGATTAAAGTTCATGGTTATTTCTGAAAAAATTAGTAAATTAGCCTACATTACACTTATGTGGACACCGATGTTCTTTGATAATGAAAACCACAGAAAACTTTTACGGTCAACAGAGTAAAGTAATAAATACATGTATTTGAGGAAATGTTCATATCACTGGTCCCTATTTTCACTGCTTAACTACAAATCAGCTACCTACCTATTTACACCTAATTGAAAGAACCTGGGATCAAGAGAATTGCTATGGCCTGGTCTTTTCTACACAAGGCTTGACAGAATTAGTATACTCAAGGGTGACCATATGCATACATACTCAGCATTGTGCTCCCAATGTTCTTAACCCTACCCTCAACTACTGAGTTAAAAAACCCAGCCTGTAAAGAGTATATGTAAATATTTTTGGGGAAATTTTATTCTCAGGGATTATTAATTACATTCAAATAATTATAAAACAAATCAACAATCAGTGTCACCCATAACATTAAACGGAAATTTTAGATTATATTCATTTGTTTTTCCGTATGACTAGAAGAAGCAATACCTCCAATATGTGCTGTTCAGAAATAATATCTAGTTCAATAGAAGGGCAATATGGCTTCTTGAAAGGTAAAAAGCTTTGGCAGAAAATCTTTAGATACTAACGGATCTCTTATTCAAAAACTTCTCTGTTTCGTACAAAAACTAACACCGCCTATCTCACATTGAAAAAAGTTATTGAATGAATCACGACAGCTATGGCTAATTAAGATAGCCAAGTAATTAATTTTTACCTTTTTAACTATGCATATATATATATATATTTATACTCTCGCCGTAACCATAACTAAAAATTCCATTACTACCTATCATACACTCATCAAGAGAATAGGAATACACCCATATCTTTCCTATACATCTAATTATATTGATGGGCAGCAATATGATTTTAATTTACCGATATGTATTTCTCATTCATTCTCAAAACCACAATGCAACTAGACGTTTGTGAGCGAGCTAAAAGATATCCTTGAGTATTCACATGAAAACCATGATAAATATCAAACAAAAGGAAGTGGTTTTGCACACATAGATATACAGTTGGATGAGAAATATTCAAGAGCCAACTCTACCATTTGATCATGAGTAAATCCAACTGTTTCATATGACAGTTCGCATCGCAACACATGAAGTGAATAATCTCTAAATGGTGTTGTCAAACCCGGAAAGTCCTCCCTCTCTCTTCAATCCCATCCAAAACAATATAGAGAATGTGTCTACTTACACTTCGTTTCCCACACCTTAACAGTTATGATGTAATGAAAAACTGGCTTTTGTTTTCCTTCCTGATAGCCATGGATCCATCCCTAACTGATGTTATCTTAATATTGTTTCGGATATGTCAATTACACTTTGATTAGGTGTTTGAGTCGGTAGATTTTAATTTTTTTGTGGTGTATTTCACATGTGTGGTATTATAATATGGTTGAATTTCTCAACTACTAAGGTTGTGTAATGTGATAGCATTAGTAAGCGAGATTCCACGAGTGGATGATAATTCTTACTAAGATGAAAGTTGAATACGCTGATCACCTTTGTGTTTTGTTGACTGTTCTCTACTGTTTGCTGGTTAGCTGTTAACTGCTGGTTCATTTATTTGCCAACCGTTTAAAAGTATGTGTATTTCATTACGGTTTTAAGTGTTGTTTTAAATCGTAGTTTGTTTATAAATAAATCTTCCATCGTTTATTTCATGTTAAGTTACTCTTTAGTCTTGTCCCACTGAATAATTATTAAATAGCTGTTATTCCCCAGCTAAAACCAACGGTCGTCTCAGTAGCTATAATCAGCAATTTTGCAAGACTATGCCACTTTATGAATCGGCTGGCACTAGGCAAAACAAATAAGACAGTATGGTCAGTGTTGCTGAGGTTGAAAACTACTTACTAGTTGTCAAATACAAGCATTTAGGTGTATACACACGATTATACTTTATTAGAATCATCCTCATCAACAGTATTGTGCACGAAACAAAATTACCAGATAGGAAATTGATTTTGATACCTATGTATATAATTAGGAATTAACAACATATGGAACAACTAGACTAATTGATTTCAGCTTTCGGACAGAAGAAATTTGTATTATGTTTCCATCATTTTTCATTACTCCCATGATAGTTTGATGTATTAACGCACACAAATCTGACAATTTAAGTTAAATCATTAAAAATTGTCAGATACAGGTAGTTGTAAATAACTGTCTACACAAGATACGTAATGACCGTTGACGGGATAACATCAGCAGCAGCCTACTGTACGAGTTGGCAAACTAACTTCCACATGAAGAGAAAACTAGGAAAATACTCCGAAGGTGGATAGAAACTCATTTATGAAATCATCAAACTGTACCACGAGGCAAGCTCTAACTTGGAATCTTCAAGTTTAAAAAGAAAAAACAAACCGTAGAACACATTATATTAGGAATTGGAAGCAGACATCAAAAGAATGAATAGCACTCAGGAATAACTGGAAAGAAGAGCCCCGGAGAGAGTGCGTTCGAGATCGGTGGCATATGCTTCATGAAATGTAACAGGCGTAAGTAAAAAAGTTTTCATAAACACATTACTCTTTCAAAAATTTTACTGTCAACTGGATTATGAATTACTTTCCTTCAAGTTAATTAAACTGAACTACGTTATTATCAGATCAAAGCAATAAGTTTTATTATCACGTAAGCTTTAATCTTTAATCTTTATGCAAAAGCCTGAGTAATTGTTAACAGATAAAATCACTCTCATCATTTTATCCGCATGAATAAATGAATGTTTGATAGGATAATCCCAAAAACAGATAATGTATATAAAATTTTCTTTTGATAGATGAAATATCGATACCACAAAGTATTATGCAACTAGTGTTACTATCATTATCGTGGATACGAAATATATGGATATGAAATATATCACTTTTACATAACGGTTATAAATGTTACACATGATTTATACTTCATTAGTGACATCAAAAGTGTGGTGCAGATAAGAGCACACAGTCTTAAAATAGTGATTTCCCAAGTAAACATGTTAAAAACTCAATACGGATTTTTTCCTTATTAAGTTACGATCTATGTATAAGAGATGAAATACTTTCAATTTGAAAATAGAATAATTAACCATACACAAAAAGTAAAGTTTTCAAAAATAATAAATTAAAAAACTAACTTTAAGTAGTTTAACATCAGCAGCTATCGGTTTATCACTTTCAGCTAGTGAATTTTCAGCATCATCAACATGAGATAATTGATCACGTAATTCAATATTATCACGGCGTAATTCTTTAATTAAATTATCCATATGAATGTGTTTAGCAACAGCAGCTGCTGTTTCAGCTTTTTGATTGGATAAATCGCTTCTCAGTAGACTTAATTGTTCTTTTAATTGACATATCAACTGATGGCTATCGGAACTTTCCTAGATTAGAATAAAAGTGTGATAAGTAAAATGTTACATTTGATAGGCTTGTAATTTTTCTTAATTACTAATTAACTTACAAATAAAGTGTTTAGAGTTGAATAAATAAATGTAGTAAATGTAGAAAACGACTATAAGCCGTAAAAATATGAAAAATGTGAGTGTTTATTTATATCACATAGAAATCTCGATTAGAATCTTTTAAATTAGCTTTCATAAATTGGGTATTTAGTCGATTAATTGATGAACTCCACTACTTCATAGTATCAAATATCCCTAAATGATTTGTTAGTTGACCGACGAGGAAAAAAATAACAGAAGAAAAGTAGGTTTTACTCAAGCAATGGAGATCGAGAAAATTCTGACTGTCAGTATTGATTGGAGAAAATATCTAAGAAAACAGTTTATTGTAGACAGGTTTATTAACTAATGAAATTGAATATTCATTCAATTTCACGGTAATTTACCTGAGCGCTTAACCAAAAACTGAACAGCTTTTAGTTTTCAGAAGAAAGAACTAACTTATTGTCTTTCAATTCAAGATGGGTGGTAAGATTCTTCTTCATTCTTAGCGATGATAATAGACTGAACAAGGTGTATGCTTCCTATAAAATAGATGTTACTGAAATATATGACTAAATTTTGAAAGCTTTTCGAAGACCATAATAAAACTAGAACACCGACTACAACAATTTTTAAAAAACGAATTTCTGAAGAAAAACGAATGTGTATGATAATAGAATGACAAATTAGCACTAAAATATTAGGATACGGTTTATTTCTAAACGAAATAAAAACGATAAGATTTTTGCAAAGTCTTAAATCATGAAGTGCACAGTAGACTTGTTATGAACTATAAGACTGATAGTGGAAAAGAAATACATCCAAAGGGTGATAGCTTAACTCTCGAAGACTTCTTCAAAGTATAATTTATCTTAGGTGGAAGAAGACAGTGGTTATTAAACATTCTATATGAAACGCATCATAGAAGATATCAGATTTGTAATGATGAACGCTATAACTACACGAAAAAAGACAGTATAGGAATATTTTCCTGCAAAAATTATTTTTTGCATAATAATCAATCATGATAGTTTTTTGGAAGTAGTGACCAGAATCAAAATATTTTAGTAAAACAACTTTAGCAAAAAATGAGTTGTAATTAGCCGTTTCCTTTCACTTTGTTGCAGTTTATAACGCTTTAAGTCTTTAGATTAACATGTTCCTTTATTGTTTAATAATCTCTCAATAGTTACTCTTAAGTCGGCTGCAGTTAGAAATGTAAACCACCGGAAACCAGCTCAGTGGCCTAAATGTTAAAAGATCATTGAGACACCTGGATACGCTCACTACTACGAGGAAACAACTGGCCAATGCCTCCCGGTTTTCGGTGATTGTTTAATTATGAACAGTCTGTGATATAAACAACAAAGTGTTCCAGAAACGTTTGATTTTTTCTAGTAAGAACTGCAATAATAGCTCATCCTTTTCTCAGAGTACACTGCAACTACCAACAAAGCAATGTCAAACTACTGAACGTTCAAGAATTCTAAGATGTACATTGTGAAATAAACTAGCAGTATAAACATCTGCAAGGAATATTGATTAAGTAGGGATGTGTATTTATTCCACCCTTAATTTGTGGTTATTATAGTAAATTTTTATTGATTTTTATGAACTTTATCTTGATTATTATAGACTATAGAATGAAAACCTCGCCTTTTTGATCAATATCGCTACGTTTAATACTTTATTTTTAAGCTTACGTTTGTACATACTTAAAGGGTGCGTTACAGTTCACTCTAAAAAAGTCAAGAACTCCAGATTAACATTTTACTTATTACTTGTACTATGATAAAACTAAAGAGTTAATCATGTAGTGTAATATGGATTAGCATCATGTATAATCACATGTTACCTTCGAGTCCCATATTTCTCTATTTAACCTGGGATTGAATGTAAACAAATAAATTACGGTAACTAACCTCGGTTTGAGTTCCCTCATGTAAAGTTGGGGGAATTTTTCTCAATTCTTCCTCAATCTGTAGAAAGAAACAAAGAATAAAGTAACAATAAGCAAATACGGAGGTCACATATGAATGGATACCATTAGAAAAATATATATCTGAACATATAAAGATAAGAAGGGTTAACACACCATAGCTTTCTGATTCTCAACTTCGACAATTTGGAAATCCAGTAATTCTAGTTGTTCTTTCATTTCTACTTTGGTTACCTCCAGTCTTTCAATTTTCTTTGCTGATTCAAATAACTAGTATTAAGTAAATAATATAGTTGTACAAACATTTACTAACCTGGTTTAGTAATTTCTTGTTTTGACGAATCAAATACCTTCTTTCCTCAGCTTCTCGAGGATCCTTTCGAAAGGGAACATGAGAGAGAAATAAAGAACATGTTTCTTTTAACTATTTACAAGAAAATTAATATTAAAATAATATCATAGAAAAATACGTTGAAAGTGTTGCACTTTACGTGAAAAATTCCCTACACCTATAATGTCGTGAATAGGGTCAATAAGAAAACATTAAAATGATCGATAAAATTTGGCTAAAGATATTCGATTATCTGAATCGAAAAGACATTAATTGCATTAAAACCAATGGATGTCACCTGAATAAAGACAAGTCAAAAAATTGAAATAGATCAACATGTGAAGAATAATTACCAACATCATGAATAGAGAACTACATGGGCAAATAACAAATTCTATGCAAAACACCTGCAAATTAACTCACTGTATGAATAATCTCAGGTCAAATCTCAACTGAACTCTAGTTAATGTAATTGACAGGTACCGCCATTTATTAATATTTCCAGTTCCTTATAGGCGACTAGCAAATCACTCAGAGGTTACTTACGTTGTTTTCAAAGCTAAACTAATTGTGTTCTATTGGTTAGAGAACAAATTCTTATTTAATTCAGAATCAGTGAAAATTACAGTTAGACTTGTATTTCACTTGAGTATTATTCCATAAAAATATGTCACATAGAAATCATAAAGCATTTTCAACTGTAATTAGGTCAATATTAGGTTATTTGGCTATTCGTGTCAAGTGAATATTGATAGAAAAGAACACAAAAGTAAATACATATGAAAAATGGGTAGTTAAGATGAATATATTATGAAAGGTAGAAGATTGAATCAATATGATGAAAACAAACTGTGACCAATTGTAATTTTCGGGCATTTCATTAAATAAAATCTAAAATGAAATGTTTTCTGAGTTGTTTTTTTTTGTTTTACTTTCCTATGGACAAGAATTGTTAATGAAATGAATACGTTTGACATATTTAAAGATCGTAAATGCTATGGGTCTGTTTGTTAGTATGTAAATATGACAATTTCCATAGTAAACTGTTACAAAGTTAAGAGCAAAATTGATGAGTAAAATAATAAATATAATAAAGTCAGAAAAACATTTAAATCGAATCAGGTTTTTCAAATGTTAATTTTGTGTTCTAATAAATCAGCTTAGAGATTCAAAACACTTTGTCAGAAGAGTTACAAGTTTATTTAGTTAGATAGGACATTCAAAGCTTACAACTTACAACTAAAAGTTTCTATTCAGTCCTAAACATTATTATTCACAAAATATTAGTCTTACAAAGCATTTATTCCTGTCAGACTGATTAGTTCGAAGATATGGAGTAAAGATGTTAAGTACTGACATGATTGGTACACCATAAACAAATTATATTCAACAACTGTATATGGTTGTTTTAATCTCCACTGATGAACTGGTACAAGGAATTAGGATCATTTTAGTTTTATAGTAACGGGCTATATGTTTAGCTACTTGAAGTAGAGCTGTTTCTAGAAACCATCAAGTATATTTCATGTTACTACTAAAAAATGTACTGTCGTTTTCCTAGAATAATAACTTGGGATCTGTCACGCTTGTAATGAAGTTTCCGTGGAAGTCACAATATAAGAGATGGAAATCTTTAAGTCTGACATAAACATTAGAGAGAAAAATTAGGTCTACACTTATCAAAACGCTAATAAAAATTAATCTGAAAATATGTGACCGTACACTCAGTCAATTATAACTAAATGTCTGGCGATTCACTACAATCAGAAGATCAAACGTTTTCCACTAATCGGTGTCGATGCATAAATAATGACTAGTTCTGAATATGATTACCATAAAAAGAAGCTGAGATTACTTAGCTCCAGGTTTATGTTATTTTGTTGATACTTAAACAATGATCTAAAACCTACTTTTGTGTAGGATATTTATGATATAATATGTTTTTAAAATTTATGTAAGTCTTTGTAACTGCATTTAATTATTTACTAGACCATTCCGATACATGCATACATCAGCTTGCGTTTGTATAGTACATTTCATTTACAATTTTCGTTACTAAAATAACTTGAGTTAAAAACAGATGATGAAAACCTGACGAAATGAAGTAAAAAAATAACGGTATTCTGTTTAAAATATTGTTCCCACTACTATAAAACTAATAATCTATGTTTAGTTTTGTCCTAGATCAATGATCTAACATGCTGAACATGACTTCAGACTATCCAGAGACGGATATTGAAGGTAATCTATACGAAGAAAACTGTTACGATAATTATTATTAACTGATTGCCCACTTTGAAAAATTCCTATCGTTACTAACTAAACAATTAAGAGTGTAAGGAACTCCCAACACAGTACTTAATTAATCTAAAAGAGATCATTTGTGGGATTTTCAGTAGTCAAGTTTTCAGACTATGTAGTATCCTACGGTCGATGACTTTACTGCAGCTGTGAAAGAACTAGTAAGTATATTTATGACCTGTAGCAATGGTTCAAAACGTAGTTTTGCTTGGCCTTGAGTATATTTCTTTAGTGTACATTTATTGACTTACCACTGGACATTAAAGTTCTTACATTTGACTATTCTGACTCTTTCACATTTACTTATTTTTTTCACTGATTGTTATATATTTTTTGATGTAATAAGCTATAGCATTACTGTACCAAATATCGTGTTGATTTATTTGATTGCTTAGCCTGATTAATTAATTTACCTTTTGGTGATTTGGTACAGATGAAGTTAGAAAAGGTGACCAGTGAAATAAATCTCTGGAAACTATTTTCACTATATTATGTTGCTCAATTTGTTAATTCAAAAATTTATCTCCGATCGTCAGATACAATCTCATATTAAAATAAAGACAGTGATATTAAGTAAATTTACTTATTCACAGATCTTGACAGAGAAATTTGTATAAACTACATTATACATTTAGAATAAATAAATAAACTCAGACGTTTATTGATATTAGTGATAAACAAAAAGCATCTAAATAAGCTATTTGTTTTATGCAGTTGTGCACACTTCAGCTGGATTTTTTGTTTACATAACAATCATTGGAATGAATGATAATAATATGATGGGACCCTATAGACAACTCCGCCTGTAGCTCTAATAGGGTTACTGCCGGTCCCAAGCCCGGGTAAAGGAGGAGGGTTGGGCATGGGGTTAGCGTCCCCATCCCGTAGAAAACTAACTCGCTAAAAAAACGCTTACCAGAAAAAATAATCCAAACCATTTAAACTCTGCCCTGGGAGTTAGAAGGTCTTCAGTTAGAAGAATTATGACGCTTCATGGTGAAAGCCGAGTTCCTTCGGAAGCCACGAGGCCGATGCCCCTTCTAACAACCAGAGCAAAAATTTTTATAGGTACATGGAACGTTCGAACAATGTGGGAAACCGGGAAGACCAGTCAAATAGCAATGGAAATGAGGAGATACAACTTAGCAGTACTGGGAATCAGCGAAACCCACTGGACCCAAGCTGGACAGAAAAGGCTAGCTACGGGAGAGATGCTGCTATACTCCGGTCACGAGGAGGACAATGCTCCACACACTCAGGGAGTCGCTCTTATGCTGTCCAAAGTAGCACGAAATGCACTTGTAGGATGGGAGTCTCACGGATCCAGAATCATCAAAGCATCATTCAAAACAAAGAAGGAGGGGATCTTAATGAATATTATCCAATGTTATGCACCCACCAATGATAGCAACGACGACATTAAAGATCAGTTCTACGAGCGGCTGCAGTCAATCATTGAGAAATGCCAAGAAAGGACCTAACTATTCTGATGGGAGATCTAAATGCCAAAGTCGGAATAGACAACACTGGATATGAAGATATTATGGGACGACATGGACTGGGAGAAAGAAACGAAAATGGAGAAAGATTTGCAAATTTGTGTGCATTCAACAAATTGGTCATAGGAGGCACAATATTTCCACACAAGCGTATACACAAGGCTACATGGATCTCACCGGACCACACTACAGAGAACCAAATCGATCATATTTGCATCAACAAAAAATTCCGAAGGACAATGGAAGATGTGAGAACCAGGAGAGGTGCTGACGTAGCTTCAGATCACCACCTAGTTGTAGCCAATTTAAAACTGAAGCTGAAAAAGAACTGGACAAGTGGACAAACAGCACTACAAAGGTTCAATACAGCCTTCCTTCGAGATACTGACAAACTCAATGAATTCAAGATAGCTCTCAACAACAGGTTCCAAGCCTTACAAGATCTACTGAATGAAGAAGAAACTACTATGGAGGACAACTGGAAAGGCATCAAGGAAGCATTAACTTCAACGTGTCAAGAGGTTCTGGGCCTAAAGAAACACCATCATAAGGAATGGATCTCTATAGAAACACTGGACAAGATCAAAGAAAGGAAGAACAAGAAGGCAGCAATTAACAACAGCCGAACACGAGCAGAGAAAGTCCAAGCACAAGCTGAATACATAGAAGCAAACAAACAAGTGAAGAGGAGCATTAGAGCCGACAAGAAGAAATACGTGGAAGAACTAGCAACGGCAGAATCTTCAATACGAACGTCAAGGCAGTTCTACTGTATGGAGCTGAAACTTGGAGAACTACAACAACCACAATCAAGAAAGTACAAGTATTTATAAATAGCTGCCTACGCAAGATACTCAACATCCACTGGCCGGATACCATCAGCAATAGCCTTCTGTGGGAGAGAACAAACCAACTTCCAGCTGAAGAGGAAATTAGGAAAAGACGATGGAAATGGATAGGACATACATTGCGCAAATCGTCAAACTGCATCACGAGGTAAGCCCTAACTTGGAACCCTGAAGGGAAGCGAAAAAGAGGAAGGCCAAAGAACACATTGCGTCGGATTATAGAAGCAGATATGAAAAGGATGAATTACAACTGGACGGAGCTAGAAAGGATTGCCCAGGACAGGGTTGGATGGAGAATGCTGGTGAGTGGCCTATGCTCCTTCACGAGGAGTAACAGGCGTAAGTAAGTAAGTAAGTACCCTATAGACATTCTAGTTTATCTATTCTTTCTATTCAAACCTTAGGTAAAAATTACTAGATAAACCAACTCTGTCATATGAATAAATAAATGATGGTCTCAAAGGTCGTTTAAGTTCCAAAACTTTCTATATTTTATTCCAGTTAATTCTAGTTAATGTTGATAAAATATCTTAATGAAACGAAATAAATTACCTGACTGAAAATCTAGACCTTTTACAGTAATTTCTAAACGAAAAATAAATAAGGATATTGAGTTTTTCTTTTTTTCTTTTTTAAAACTGTACTCATATTTATACGAATATTCGTCAAGATTAGAACGAATAGTTTGACAGAAAATGGGCGCCGAGTATAGAGAAGTCATTATATGTGTATTATTTACAAAGAAAATTAATCCATTTACATAGACATTTGCAGATAAGAGAACTGAGTAAACCAATTCAGAGATATTATTTTTAAATTGTATCAACATTCATTGTAATAGACCTGGTCGGTACTTTTTCCGAAGAATTTATTTATCTAACTAAAGTTAGCTGGTAATTCGATTAAATTTTGATACTTCTCATGGATATAAAGATAGGAAATATGATGAGATGAAGTTAATAAAAATAACACCTTTCTTATTTTCGGCTAGATGATCTCATGTATCAATAACATTATTGAAAAAAATGATTCAACATAACCATTATATTAAATTCCATTCTGAGTAATGAAAACGGTACTACACAAGCTAAATATATCTTAACTCGTTTATAATAACTGAAATAAATGTGTTTATATATTCACGCCTTAAAACATTAAGTTGTAAGAAAAGTTTGAATATTATTTAAGATAAAGATTCCTATTTTAGACATTATAAATACTGAAAAATATTATTACATTTATAAAACACAATATAAACATAAATCAAATGCAATTTTCTCAACTTACAATTTTTCGTCGCTTGAAGAAAAACAGAAAATCACAAAACAGATCAGTTAAATTTGTTAGATACTTGATGAACAACGTTTACAATAACAGTATAAACACTGATCAAATAGGAAACTGAGTACTTATGAAAAACTATAACACATCATCCTTCGAACGTTTAAAACATTTTTGTTTTGCTAAGGCAATCAGTATTTTGATTTACTTGCAAGATCCTACACTATTCATCTGAAAGTTTGCGCTATCACCCTACATGAAATGTACATCAGTACCTTTGAACAATATTGCCTCTAGAAAAATTTAGTTTTTGTCGAACACTAAGAAGAATCAGATAACGAGTAACAAAAGCATTATATTTTTGGAGAACGTAACCCCAAAGTCTTAACTGTTATTTGAAATCCATATCTCAAAGAAAATGAGTGACCCGTCTCCATCTCTAATCGTCTATCAGATTAGTTTCAAAAATTACTATTAGAATAAAACAAAAACCCATAATTCATGAAATATTTAGTATTAGTAAGAACTATGGTATACTGAAAGTTTTTATCAGATTCTTTGTAAATTCTATACGCTTTTAAAGTACTCTGGGTATAACTTAATCAATTTCCTGAATACATTGAAAAGTATTGCAACAAATTATAGTTTTACAATTCCTAACATTAGACAAAAAGAGCATATGTTAATAGAACCCAAATTTAGGATAATTACACTTGACCACTTCCGAAAGAAAATTTATTTCATCATCGAAGCATTTGTTGACGATACTGATGTCCAGTTCGGGCTTATAAAGATAATTTCTCATTTTATCAATAAAAGGAAGAAAGTGATATTACTTATAATTTGGCCTGCATTAAATGGGTCCATCAATCTACATCAGTTTCCTACAAATAGGAAAGAAGTACTTCAGATGCAGCAGCGCTCATTTCACGCTAAGTGATTTATCTGTTTGATACACGTTTCTATACTATATTTTTGATGCTGTGTTATCAGAAAAGTTTGCTTGTATCAACATCAATAGCAGAAAAATCAACTGGTCTTGTTTTTATTTTTCTTCAAAGGGTAGTATACCGTTAATGAAGGGAAATATTCCATTGTTTTATTAACTAAAGTTGATGTGCTTCAAATAGCTGTTGTTTTCCTTCCCTCTTTCTCTTTTTTAGTGTACGATACCCCATCATCTACAAACGACACTTTGATAGGTATGTGTACAAACTGACTATAGTATGTATACCAGCCTTTTCCTCTTTCAATTACTTTGAAGTGAATGAATTCTTGAAGTATACTGAATACAAGTCTATTTGGAATGGCCTTGCACTTAATCCTTTTAGATGTCAAACTACTGATTTCAGTCTACAATATGGTAAGGACCTGAACGTCGTGCCAGAATCGTGTGACTTTTATATTATTACATATTCTGTTATAAAAACCTATGCTAATTATCACCAATCTAGGCTTAAGCTTCACTTTTAATCTCTCTTCTGATTTTCCCACGCTTTGTTAATATTAAAGAACGTTCTTAGTTTAACCTATTATTGGAGGTTATGTTTTCGTCATAACACAACGACCGTCTTTATGATTTATTAATTCCTGTAGACTGTCCATTATACTTTACTGTTTCTCATTGCCTTTCCTGAACTTTTGAAAAGTGATTACGCTGTGTTAAATAAAGCACTGAGAGCTATTATTAAATTCAATGGTGGATTGTTTGACGCTATTATGAATGTAACTGCAGATAAACAAATGAAATCTTGAAAAACAACTGACAAGATTTATTCCATCATATGCAAACCATCCACTGTATTTGTATCATCTCCCCTGTATATATTCTAGTGTAAAAGTATGAAGGCTATACAATACCGTATTTAGGACATATATTGTACAATAAAAAATGCAACAGTTAATCTAATGAGAAACATATGCTTTTTAACGTCCATATATATCATTCAGTACAGTAAAGATTGTTCTTTTGTACAAAATTCCCACTTAGTTCTACATATTTCTATTTATTTATTTAGGGCGTATCTCTTTATAAATTATATAAAGAATAGGAGGAATTCGTCAGAATATTTCATGTTAAAAAGTCTATATTGTAATAAACACAAAAGATTGAATAAATCAATTAATTATAATAATAATATTGTTCTTATCATTGTTGTTATTAAGACATTATTGCTTACTCATGCAACATTTAGGCAAAAGCATACTGCTTTTATAGCCACTGAGTCTACTGGATATAATTCCTTTCAATTTTATTATCAAACGTCAAATAAGCAAATAGTGGAATAATTGTTCTAGTTGACCTTAATTAACTGAAAAACGTTACTTCAAGCACAAAGACAGGTCAAAGTGTTTTTCAAGAGTAGTGCAAGAGATTTGAATGAACTATCGAGTAAATCCCAGTAACTAATGTTATCATAAATTCTCTCTAGCATATATATATATATATATATATATATATATATATATATAGGTTGCAGAATTATGTTCCCAAAATTTACTATCATTTGATCAATGAACCTGTCTTACGATGTCGATTGCGACGAAATTTACACTTATGCCACGTGAGCGAACTATCTCTATGATAATTTCACTCAAGTGATCAGTCGACAACCTTTTCACCCATTTTTTATCGGCTCAGCTATTCTTCAAATAAATAAGTAACCATAAGGCCTTAGTTTTTTGTAATATCCTGATTAGGTCTACATTGCCTGATGAAAAAGACAGAGCCTTTACTTACGCAAACCAAACACAAGTAAAACGTCTATTTTTCATCAAACCAATAAAAAATACTTACTCGTGCCAAACGAATCTCAAGAGCTTGTTTTAGGTCTTCTATGCACATCATGGCATCTAATAGGTCGGATTCCAAGCGATTGCGAGCCTGTACGAAATAAACGATAGCCAATGAAATTTTTTAAAACCATCAGTCTTCATTTTTTATAACCAGAAACAATCAACAACATGAGAATGTACGAGAAAAGTATTTATATTAAACGGAAGTTGTCTTATAACTCAATAGATGAAGCCACTTTTACACAGTAGATTTCTACAAAAAATAATTAATGACCTAGGGGCGTAAATTTTCTAATGTGAAATATTTGTATCTACAAAATAGGGGAACGCGCACTATGTTGTTGATCTTATACAGATTGTCTAGCTAATAATTTTGCATGAATATGATTGTCTTATACTTCGGTTGAAAAATGAAGCAAACAATTCATCATTACTATGAGATCCGCAGATAAACAAATCCATTAGATTTGCGTGAACTATTAATATTGTCAACCAACGATATGCACGCAGTTTGTAGACGGTAATGACATGATTTCTTGAACGATACCAAAGTTCCGTAATTCGAGGAACTATTCTAAAAACGCACCAATATACCTTATATCCATAGAGTTATAAGGTGTCAAAATCGTATAAATACCAGTGTTGCTTTTGACATGTAAGTGTAGTCCATAGAACACTCTAATTAGAGGGGTGTAATAACTTCGCTTTATTGTAAACAAATATTTTATGCCTAGTATTGTTAAACATGAATTCTGGCACAGCTAGGCAGTGATCAAAAGTATTAAACCCACAAATGAAGAAGAATACAGAATAAAAGGATGATAAAGCGCTGAAAACATCAAAACCTGATATTTTCAGCTAACCGCATGATGAAAATGAGTAAAGTAGGTGTTCAGCAGTGTTCTCAAGCAGTTAACTATATAGCTGGTGTTTTATGATCTACACTGTCATGAAAACGTTTCACTGACTTCAGTACTAATCTCTCCTTATTAATGGCTTATCATTCGAAGTAATATTATCTAGCTTAGCCTCATATTGATAAGAACATTGCCTGGTTTTAAAAAGCCCCGCATGTGATCAACATTATGAAGAAAATTCAAATTCTTAAGCATAAAGTGTATGAACGTAATGTAGCTATGTAATTATATCAAAACATACAGAGAAAAACAGAAATATCTATCAAATTAAACACATAGTTTTCCAAATAAACACTTAATTAAAGCTGTATTTGTATGTAGCTAGTTTTAAATATACTTATTCCTTACGGCACCATGAATTTAGGGATTGTAAAGCTGTTTAGAGTAAAACATTTAAGTTACAGTTACAGGTTAATCTGCTAAACCCCTTACTCCGCAGTTTGTTACCCATTTTACTTCTGACTACAGTAAACAGAATTATCAACATAATAGATTTAATAGATTTCATGGATTATATGTCTAATCAAACAACCTATTTACAAAGCAAAGTTCAATACTGCTTCCTTTTAATTAGTATTTTTAATTACAACCTATACTCTTGTGAAATTTATTCGAGACGAAACCGCTAGATTTGGTGAAGCATTTGATTTTCCTATATTTTTATAAAACGTCTGAAGCTGAATTCGAAACGAATATTATCTCTGTTTTAAATGGTTGTTACTAAAATGACTACTCTTTTAAACTTGTTTTTTGATTTCTCTGCCTTATGTTACTAAAGTAAAGAACTACTTTTCACTTCCCAAAAACCACTTATGTTAGGTGTCAAATCACTTCATACTAACCAATTCATCAATATTTTTTGAGATGCTTTGTTTGCTAAAACCTCCTTCATATTTCAGGCACGTGGTTCAATGTCCTGAACCATGCAATCATTCACTACTTTTGTACAATTTTCATAAAACAACCGCACAAAGTACTCAGCTTTACCTTCTATTTATCATGAATGCAAACAGTATACTTAAATAATGCAACTGAAATAAAACCTCACATTAGGACATGATTTTGTGTCCAGTTAGTGGAGTTGCTTTATTTCAGGAGTTTTCATTATGAAATCTCTTTGTAAGCACACAAAGAAACTAGTATTCCACCGTTATAAATTGCGATTTTATTATAGAAAGAAGTGTTTATTGGTCCAGGGATCTTTTGTCACTTAAAATATATTTGTAGTCTAACGATTTATAAGATAATTGTTGTAGATGGCTTTTGTAGACTGCGGAACTTTTGATTAAATATTTATACAGTTCAGCTGCGTTTATAACTTACAGCTACCTGACTAGCGGTAGTCAACCCAGCACATTTTTTGTCTATTCAAGTTCACTGAGCATCAGAAAATGTCCGGGAAAAGTACTTTAATAATTATAGTAAACACTTTTATACCTAGCTACTTTGTTTTTGATATACTAAACACGCCGTAGCGACATTTGGATTTAAAAGGCTATAAAAAAAACATATTTAGAAACATGTGTTTATATATGGTGATATAAATGCATAATCCCTTTGAATCCGATGGCAGCTCACCATTTATTCAGTGCCTCAGTTTGATTTGGAGATTTATAACTATTCGTTTTTACTACCATTTGGATGTTAACTGCCTGTTTTCAGTTTCTTATATTCCATACAAAAAATCTTGTAAGTTATCAGCTGAAGTCTAGTAAAGCCTATTACTTCACATAACTTCATATAGAGTATAATTTTATTAGCCATAAGCAGAAAGATGCAACACTTGATAGTGATCAGTGTTACACCTAGATGAATTCGACTGCATCTGGTTTATTATTATACACTAAAACTCCAAAGATAAGAGCGCTGAATCCTCTACACTAAAGAGTTCAATTTTGTTTATTGTTTATGGTTTTTGATTTTTATTCGTAAATTCTTTCAAGAGCAAAGGAAAGGCAACTAAGCAGTACCGCATCAATAAAAAGCGAATGCAAAAATATATGTGAAAGGATAGGACTTTTGTGTGAGTCAGTATCAATGTCATCTGAGAATAATCCTACAGTAAAGATGTAGCAAATGAGTACGATACTGAAAGTTTTAAAACCACAAGAAAGCATCAAACATCTTCAAAATTAGTAGGGTTCTGAGACTTATAAACGATCTCCTAAAATGCATAAGGCTTAAATTAACCAAATGATATATACTAACTTATATTGGATATAATTTCATGAAAAAAACTTAATGTGTTTATATTTCAGACCTACAAAACACTAAAAACCTTACCATCTCATTATTCTTGGTCATTATGGACAGAAACCTTTCCAATCGAAGCTTTTCGCTCATGAGTAATCTGTAGTTATTCATGATCTCTTGCTTCGACATCTATTATGATTAAAAATATACTGAAATTTTAAATACTACATTTTCGTAGTTTTTGGCTATTAAGGACCACCGTTTGTCCATACTTTCATCGTTTAGAACTTCCTTTACTTTTTCCTCCTAAACAATACATTTTATTTGAATATATCACATACTTCGTTAGAACATTTCACAAGTGAAACGTTGGTATCAAGAGCAGTAGGTTCCTAAAAATGACGCAAAACTGCAAGAACATACCGTTGACTTAGCACGACGTGACTTTTTGACTGTGTAAGCTGCCAAAGCTTCTCCTCCCAATGGTCTTCGAGAAATATCTGGACTCCTGAATCTTTCCTGATTCTGTTTGTACATTTGTTAACTTATGATGACAATTTACTTGTCGTAATGAGGCCAATTGTTCACACGTCAAGTCCATAACATGAGAGGTTTTATAAAATTCGCATGCAGAATTAATAGATGTGGGCTCAGGATGTAAATGCTGAGTCAAGCATGACCTAACGAAAGAAAATGGAAGTTTCGAACAATCGCCATAAAAATGAAAGTTAGAGCACAACTAAATAACTTCAACAGTTTCATTCATTTTCCAATGCATCAATTCAATATCCAGTAATCCATGAAGATCTACTGTAAGAATTTAAAGGACTCAATCTTATCTACTTTCTCGGTTTATCTGGTATACCGTAAAAGTATCTGTGTTCAATACTCGAAGGACATGAGTGTCACTAGAAACAGCAGTTGCCATGTCACTTGACTGTCATGTTGAAAACGGTAAGTTGGGAATATGAATCATGGAAGATAATTTTAAAGAATACAAGACGTTCTCTTCATATGAAAATATGTGTGAAAGAATCAGAGATAAGACGAATTCGTAGTGCGAAAAAAGTTCTAGTCTAAATTTTCGTCCTTTAATGAGCTGTTCTACCCTCATCGAAGAATAATTTTCTAATATGAGCCTATGAGACAAAAGTTTTACTAACACCAAGGTGACAATCGCAGAATTTTTTACCGGTCCATGTTTTGCAACCGTCAGGGACTCGAAAATAATTTTGATATGTAAGCAGCAGACACCAGTTTCTTATTTAGACACAACACCAGTTAAACCCTTTGAATGTGTTCTTGGACGTTTTGTTTCAATTGAGACTGTTAATTCGAGCTTTTCCTAAGTACTTTAAGGTTTTTCGTCGGGTTTAAAGCCACATAAAGAAATGGATTGTTTAAGTATGGCAACAATGTACCGGCGCAGCTAATAATGGCAATGAATATTCACTGAAATTTTACCACCATCAGCTGGCTATCGAGACGGACATCTTGATTCGCGAATGGTGATATTCGTCGATAAAGATTGGCTAGAACCAATTTTGTTATGACGGGATGAGTTAATTCCGTTTAATTCAATCTGATGACCATTCAGTATGGTATTTTTCGTTTTCCCCCTATGACATTTCATTCTGTATAACGTACGATATTCTTATATCAAATATTTTCCATATATGTGATTTATTCTGATTGTTAATCAGAAATGGGTGTACAAAGCAATACATAAATAAGTGTATTCCGACCGGACTGGTCGTGGTTGCTTGTTCTTCTGGCTGCTTGAGGAATATATTTCCTTGTTTCGAACTTGAACTTTTCACTCTAGTTAGCGGGGCTGGGACTGGTCAGAAAAGCTAACCTACTGGTCTTTGACGACAGACTCTTTGTTCCATTCCCGGACAAAGTGAACTCGTGATCGCTTCAAACACAAGATTGTTGTAGACTTTTCAGCAGCTAACCGGTTTTTTTAATCACCATGACCTCGGTAACACCCTTTATACATGGTTTTGTAAAATGTGTTCATGTAGTGGATAATCCCAATTTCTAAAGGTCTTGTGAAACAGCAACCTTCATCCTCTATTGTTATTAGCGATTTCAATAGAGATTTTAGTAATTTTTTGTCTTAGATGCGTCTATTGTTAATCATTTAAAGTGCTATAATCGTTTCCTTAAATTATCACCATTTGTGAGCATGTCCATCTCAATGCGGGGCTTCTGTATACTGATCTTAATATTACCCAGTGTTCTTCGACTACATCTTTGTTATCTGACTTTCGATTAGATGAACATTTTACATCACATCTGTTTGCAGTATGATATCGGGCCGTTGACAATGAGGTCTTGTTTGAATGAACTCAAATTATATCATGGATAGATGGTCCTTTGCACCCTTAATAGTATTTGTTGCTCAATTTGATTCTTTCGGGAAGGTTTTACCAACAGTTTGTTGAAAATATTACTCATGATCCGCAGGAGTTTAACAATCTTACCGAGTAGTTGTAGTTTCTTGTATAGTATGTTATTTTGTGTAGGAGAAACACTAACTACGTGGTGGTCAAATAACGCTGCTGTAGTGTTTTGTGTTCTTCAATCATATTTATTATCATTAGGTCGTACATTAGGAATTATGCGTAGAATCAATGTTTAGGTGTTATCGTCAGCTATAACACAAAAAATGTTCATGCATCATAAAGCACAGCATAGAACATTCAAAAGGCGACTAAATGTCTTATCAGTAACAACTGACACCATTGCTTCCCGGTCACTATGTTTCTTTGACGTCGAGAAAGGCTGTACGATTTTTAAATTCTAGCATGCTTGACACCCTTTTCAACACACTATCCATTTTACCGAAAAATGTACCTCCTCGTCATCATTGTTTTAAACTTTGGCATCTGTCAGTTTGAGCTCGAGACGTTATCTTCCGGATAATTTGAAGATCGACTGTTATGGAACATCTAATTTAATTGTCAATGTGATTGAGTTCGTTGTACTGCGGCTTCAACGATCTCTCAGTTCTGAACCTAGCGGCGAAGCACTGAAACTACTTGTAAATATTCACCCGGAGTTCCGAAGAGATTCTCTAGATCTTAAGGTTAAAGATGTACATAAAATTAGAAGAGGTGCAGTTAGTAGTCGCCCAGAAATGCTCTGGTACGGTCGAGAGTGGGGAGAGTCCGCTCTCCCTCTCGGAATGCTCTGACATGGACACGCGTACATAGCCTCTACAAGGGAAGTCGTACTCATTGCCTTCTCTTACTGAATGTTGTTTACGAAGTTGAGAGAACGAAAAGCGAATGTCCGGCGCTTTGACCGGGTTGGTGGACATGGAGAGTCCGCCTAGGGGAATTGGAAAACCCTGACTCCAAACCAATGGTGCACATGGGATCCAATATCCTAAAGGAACAAATGGCGTATGAACCAATCGTTGGTCACCGGCTACCATGGGACAGCATCTCCTAATGATGCTTCACTGCCTTGTGGATCAGACCTCCAGGTCGAAGGCTCCGAATGTGGCCCCATGAGAAAACCACCTATTTCGGTTTGGGCACCCAGTCAGTACCACAGCCCTCACACGCATATGTATTTGGTGCCTACTTGTACCGACATCTATGTGTCAAAATAAAAAAAATAATAAAAGTAGTCGATGAATCCAGATTTTTCTTATAAAAAGACACCATCAACCGTGTCCGGTCTGGCATGGTAATGTATTAAACGATTTCTTGCTTCAAATAATGATAGGTTTTAGGCAATAAATAGTTTTCTACGAAATTTGATTTTTCGAGGCTACATCGGTATGAAATATCATCAATTCAATAGAGTAATTCAAAGCCTGTGAAATAATATTTCGGCAGAACTGTACTATGATTTATACAAACCAGACTCTAGGCCTGATCTTGGCTAATGGACTGACGTTCACATGATTTAATATGCCCATCTATTTTGACTAGCTAGACTTGTCTCGTCGATGATTCTGGTTACAGTTTTGGGGTTTTATCATTCATCATATGAAGTACTAATAACTGCCAAAAAGAGATAAATTACTCTTTTGAAAATCCCCATCATTTTGCTAGGCAAATATATGCATGAAGAATACACATTTTAATAAATTCTCGTCACATTCCGCAATTGTATATTCATATCATCAATCCAAAGTGTCCACGTTAAAGACAAGGTATACTGTTTAAAATTCTGTCATGTAAATCCAGTAGCTCTTCACAAGAAACACCTTTACCCCCAAATTATTGTGCGGTTGTCTTAGTTAACCTTTTTAACACTTTGAAAAGTTCATATCAAAAGCTCTATAAGACTGGCACGATCTCATTTTGACTAATTACCAAATATCGTAATCCCATACTTTTCTGCCTAATGGCTTTTGATAAGCTATTATTTATATGACATTCAGAGCGGTATATAAATATCTGACATTCAATTCGGTCGGCACTCTCAAACCTAATCTGTCCGGAACTCTCCTTTTCGGTTGCTTCCGATTGCAAATCATCCCTTGGATATCTGTCTCTGATTCCTAGTATTATGTGTTCTTTGGTCTGGCTCTTTTCCTTTAGTCTTGTGGATTCCAAGTTGTGGAATTGAAGTTGTCCTTTAGATATTCTGCTAGAACTAAGTCATAATGGCGGCGACCCCAGTCTACGTGGAAGTTATATCAGAATAACAGCGACGTGGCTTTAAACTTTAACTGTTTCTAAACGTAAAAACAACTCGATTAGTAGAATAATTAAAGAAATTACAGTCATTGAGTGAAACGCGCAAGCATGACAACCAGTATTGTGTGTCTTATCAAAACAAATCAAAATTATGAGACACACGAACATAAGAAAATAATAATGTCCTTCAGTCGGCAGGTCACACGCAACAGGGATATTCTACAGACATATCAGGCCAGATTACCGCGGAGGGAGCTTAAGCAACGATTTGGTCGTTTATTTACGGACATAACCGACACAAGGTACGACTTGCCTCGTGGTTCAGTTTGATGATTTCCCTAGTTTATGTTCTATCCGCCTACATCATCTTTTCCTAATTTCCTCTTCAGCTGGAAATCGGTTTGTTATTTCCTATAGTAGGCTGTTGCCAATGGTAGCCGGCCAACGGACATTGAGTATCTTCGGTGGACAATTGTTTATAAATACTTGTACATTTTTGATGATTGTTGTGGTAGTTCTCCTAGTTTCAGCTCCATACAGACATATTTAACTCCAGATTGTTCTTTGAAATCAATTTTGAGTTTCATAGCATCAATCTGAATTATTATTGCACAAATATTTATACTAATATCCGGTTTCACTCTGTATACTATTACATAAATCTAAATGTATTCATCCGAGTGCTTTAACGGATTTTTATTTTATTTTTTCAATTGCTGGTTTCCTTCAGAGGTTGATATTCATTACACAATTATTATTCTTATCATGGATCAAACTTTTCACTAGGTGTCCACTTCTTTTCTCTCTCTTCTTTCCCTCTAAATAAATATTATTCTTAAGAATACGAAGTTTGTAATTAAGACAATAACTTGTGTTACACCTAAATTAAATTCTCAGACCCGTTTCATCTTCACTATGCATATATGACTCATACATA